CTGTGTATAAGACAACCAACAGTTATGAATTAAAAACAAATCATTTTGAAATTTAAAACCTTTAGAAGACACTATATTATTTCCAATCAATTTGTGAGTGATAAATTGTTCAGTGATACCCTGACTGTAATTAAATGATGGATTTAGCCACCATGCTGTCACGCATGGTTTTGGCCGCCATCATGTCAGTTTGTAAAACAAGAGCCTATATTTGGATGATAACTTGAAGTCTAAGGCTACGTTCACACTGCAGGCGAAAGCGCATCAAATCCGACTTTTCTGACCCTCTGCGACCCATATATATATATACATATCCGATCATGGTATGACAGTGTGAACGGCACAAATCTAATATTTTCAAATCCGACCTGGGTCACTTTCGTATGTGGTACTGAAACCGGTACACATCTGATGTTTTAGAAAGCGACTGCTGTTTGAACAGTCACGTCACATTAAATCCGCCTTTTACGTCACCGACACAAGACTGAAGCCAATTATCAGGGCCAGAGAAGACATCGCGAACGCTTCCTGGCCATCCAGAGAAACTGTTGGGAAGACAACGTTGGAGAAACATGAACATTTTATTTGTACTGTATAATCTGCAGATTCTGAGAGAAATCTGCAACTATCCTTTGAAGCACCGCTCCTCTAAAACAGCAATAAGGATCATTATTAGGCGATATGTAAATAACACAATAACTTTATAATTTAAAGCAAAATTGGGAAACGTAAAGTCTGAAACAGTCAAACAATACTTTTGCTCTGGATCTAAACAGAGCGCATTGTGTGTGACGTCTTCTTTTGCACATGCGGGCCGCTTTGAGGGTTCACACTAGAGTGTGTTTGCTGTCAGATTTTATCTGCAGTGTGAACAAGCAGACAAAAAAAGTCAGATTTGATCAAAAAAATCAGAATTGAGCATTAAGACCTGCAGTGTGAACGTAACCAAAGTTACAGTTAATCTCATGGTTAAAACTGTAGATATGAATCTAAATCTAGTTGTAGCACACAGCAAACATGTTTAATTCTGATCTACAGTTGAACATTTAAACATGAGTTTTTTTGGGACTGACTCAATTTTGGAGCCAGCCTCCAGTGACCACTTGACACTCGTATTAATATATGTGAGTGTTTTTAAAAAGAGTATATTACGTCTGATTATAATAAGGAAGAGAAGTTCTATGAAAACACTGCTTTGTTTTAATGTCGTCTTAGCATTTCTTTTTTAATTTGCAGCTCACCTTTTCATCTTGACTCACTCTAAAAAAAGTTTCCATGCAAAGTTTTAGGTTATGTACAGAAACAGGAAATAAACCAGAATTCTAATATTAACTTACTGTCACGGAAATAAAGGGTGGAAACTAAAAAGCCTTTTGTTGCCTCTTCTTCCTTCTTGTATTTCTTTTTCTTCTTCCACCATCTATCCACTTTTTTCTCCCTCATCTAATTATTCATTGATGCTGTACAATGTTTTTTTTCCTACTCACAG